TACCAACTACCACATATAGGAGATGGGTGAATCTCGCTAATGACCAAATTGGCTAGTCTGGGAGCGTTTTTCTCTCCATTAGATCCCCTGAGTCAAAACGAGGTGAGCTCATCCCCATGTGTGCATAGGATGACCCAATAGCCGAGCATTCGGGACAAAAACTGTACAACTAGGGGGTTAAGTTTGTAAAAATTCAATTTGAAAAGTGTGTGCAAGGAAAGTGTCTTGTTATGCTTCAATGAATCAAATGCACACGTAGAGTTGAACAAAGGCCCCTCAACAGGGGCAATAAATAATTTTTTTTTTCAAATTCCCAATAACAGGGGCAAGTTGAAAAACTACCTCTCAATAGATGTAGAATTTCCAAATAATAAAAACATGAAAAAAAAATATTTTTTATATGAGCGACATGCCTAATGTCGCCCAGCCTGTGAGGGCGACACCACATGTGTCACCCAATGTTTTTTTTGCAGAATTTTTTTGTTTTAACCACCAGCAAACACTTAAAAAAAAAAATTTTCATGGGCGACATGCCTCGGGTCGCCTAGCCTGTGTGGGCAACACTACTGGTGTTGATCAAATCTTTTGTACAAAAACTATTTTTTTTATTCCCCATGTTTCCATTTAATAAAAAAAGGAAAGTTTTTTTGGGGTGACACCAGCCGTGTCGCCTAGACATGGGCGACATCACCAATGCCCCCCCGGCAACACCCTTAGTGTCACCCAAAAATGTTTTTCCAAAACTGCCCCAACTCATTTTTTAGGCCTTCCAAGGATTGATCTTTGGCTTATCATGTGTTTTATGACCATTTTAAAAATTTTTGATTAATTTTCAAAAACTTTAACATGCTCCTCAGTGGCACGAGCCTAAACTGCCAACCAATTTTCCAAAAACAAAAAAAATATTTCAAGAATAATAAAAAAGAAATGCTCCTCGGTGGCATAAACCTAAACTGCCAACCAAAGCCAATTTTGTTCAACGTTAAACTTGTGCGACATAAAATACCTGAGGCAGGTACCATCTAGCCCCGTATGACGTGAAAGGTCGGGTGTATCTAGGGTACCACCACCTTGTTCAATGCAAAAACGTCAAACTCGTGCGACATAAAAGAATAGAGACAACATTGATAACTTTGATAACATTGATTTTCTAGATATGAGCTCTAGTGGATTCTTTTTCTTGTTTTAGATATATGCATTCCTTTATCGATGATAGAACTTGTTATATTTGGATTTATCTATTGAAATTTAATAGTGATGTCTTCATTGCTTTTATGGAATTTCATGCCATGATAAAAATCAATTTGATGCTGAAAGTTTTCGGAACTAATAATGGAAAAAATATTAAAATAAACCTTTTTCTTCTTGTTTAATGGATCGTGGGATTATTCATCAGATGTCATGTGTAGAAACTCCTTAGCAAATGGAATTGCTGAAAGGAAAAAGATGCATCTTCTTGAAGTAACACGTGCCTTATTTTTTTAAATAAGTGTTCCTAAATCATATTGGTCTGATAGTATTCTTACTGCTTATCATCTTATAAATCAACTGCCGACTATAATCATGGATAATAGAAGTCCTTATGGAATATTGTATGGTTGCCCCTCCTACTATTCATCATTTAAAGAGATTGGGTTGTGAATTCTTTGTGCATTTATCAGAAAATTAATGCGGCAAACTTGCTAAATGATCCATTAAATGTATATTCTTGGGAAATTAGCCTACCAAATAGGGTTACAAATGCTATGACCAAAAACCTAGCGAATATATGTTTCTCGAAATATTGAATTCAATGAACAAATTACTTATTCTCAAACTGATAAGCCTCAAAGGGGGGTTAGCAAGACAACTTTGACCCAAGATCTATCAATAATGGATGGTTTTAATTCTAGGGTTGAAATCATTAAGAATACTACACATATGAAATACCTCAAGAATTCTTCCTAAAACACCATGAGACCCCGGTGAGGAGGTTCAATCAAATGAATATCAAGGGAAAATAATTCCTCAAGACATTCAACCAAGATGATCTGGTCGTATTAGTCAACCTCCTCTTGGTTTAAAGGATTGTTATACATATCATGTCAAAGAAAGCAATCACAATTTTGTTACCTATTGAAAAACAAATGGATTTTGAGAAATTATCTACTAAATATTGTGCTTTTTTGACCAAAATTTTCTCAACAAAAGACCACTAGCTTCGAGGAAATTAATTCAAATGCAGTATAGAGGACTGCGATGGAAGAAGAAATTGTTGCTTTACAGAAAAATCATACTTGGCATATCCTTACCCTTTCAAAAAAAAATAAAAAAAAGGAAAAAAAAAAACCAGTTGGATGCATGTTGGTCTATAAAACGAAATACAAAAATGATGGAAATATTGAGAGATACATGGCGAGACTTGTTGAAAAGGGATTCACCCAAACCTATGAAATTGATTACAAGGAAACCTTTACTCATGTGTCCAGCATTAATACTAAGAGGGTTTTACTTCCTACTGCTACCTACAATGATTGGCCTTCATATGAACTAGTTATAAAAAATTCCCTCTTGCACAGAGATTTGGAAGAAGAAGTTAACATGAAACTTCCTCATGCTCCTCCTCAAGAAGGCAACAAAATTTTGGCTTTCAGGTACAAGATTTGCAAAGTAAAGTTAACCTCTCATTGATATAGGGTTTTAATGTTGTTTCATCCATGTTTGTAAAAAGAAGGCAATCTAGGAATGTTATTGTCCTTATCTATGTTGATGACATTGTTATAATAGAAAGTGATTCAAATTCCATAACAAAGTTGAACGATTACTTCATACAAAGTTTGGTATTAAAGCTTCGGAAAAACTTTATTTTCTTGAGATTGAGGTATCTTACTCTCACATAGGAATTTTTATTTCCCAAAGGAAATATGTTTAAGACTTTTGGCGCGAAACTGGCAAGATAGGGTATAAACTTATTGATACTCCAATTGAGACAAATTGTAAAGCCAACATAGACTCGCGCACAGCTTTGGAAGATACTGGATGTTTCAACGTTTGGTTGGTCGACTAATATATCTCATCGTCCCTAGACTTGATATTGCTTATGCGGTCAGTATGGTAAGTCAATTCATGCATTCTCCAAAGACTGCTCATCTTGAAGCTGTCAATCGAATTTTAAGGTACCTTAATTGATCTCTTGGAAAATGAATTTTAATAAAAAAGAATGGTCATAATGATATTATTGCCTTTTCTGATATTGATTGGACAGGTAGTCCTACAAATTGAAGATCCACAAAGGGTGTTGTACATTATAGGGGGTATCCTTGTAACTTGGAAAAGTAAGAAACAGTCGGTGGTTGTTCAATCTAGTGCAAAGGCCAAATAAAGAGCCATGACAATAACCTGCGAATAAATTTGACTAAAATTTCTTCTTAGAGATATGGGTTTCAATATTTTGCATCCAATGGTTAGGAACTACGACAACCAAGCTGCTATACATATCGCATCAATTCCCATATTTCATGAACGAACTAAGCACATAGAAAAAGATTGTTGTTTTGTGAAATAGAATGCTCAAGCCAAAGAAATTACTACTCCATTTGTTAGAAGAAAAAATCAATTTGTTGATATCCTTACAAAGGCCACAAGCAAAGTACAGTTTCAACAAACATTAAACGAGTTGGGCTTGATAGATATCAGCGTACCAACTTGAGGGAGAGTGTTGAAATGTAACCATGTACAACCAGCAACTCAAATATGATACATAGATAATATGGTTACCCAAATTCCATATTTTGGGTAACTAAATGTGAAGATTATCTTGATGATATATTTAAAAGATATTTGGAGGATCAGTTTCAATTTAGTTATCTTGTAGCTTCTATTCAATACTAGGTGAATGAAATAATGGGCAGAACTGAATAGGCCTTCAACTGTCGATCTCGATCGATGAGACAGATCATGGTAAAGCTATATTCTTATTCTTTCCCAAGTTGTATTTTCTTCTTCTTTTCTTGTCTCATCTTCTAAATTTCTTCAACAGATTAGGAGTTAGATTTTTGAAGGCAATAGCAGGGTAGTATTAGTGGTAGGAATGGAAACCACAATGTGGTGACTAAGTGTGGGGATGCTGCCACAAACAACCCTAGCCCCTTTCCTAGAATTTTATGTGCTTGAGTACTGATATGGGAACCCTCAACATAGAGAAGTTCAGAAATGAGTGGTATCACCTACTAATTGGGGTGGTTGAAGTGATGTCAATAACCTTGATGGAACTCGGGCAACCTTCCAAAGGTTGTGATCGAACCTTATGCTGACTTGGTAGATGGTTGGTTCTTGCCCTGGGGAATCCATTCTTAGAAGGTTAGGGTTCTTGACACTCGGTTTGCACAACTGCAAATGGTAATTAAGTTATTTTGTAGCTATCAAATAAAAAATATGGCATAGATGTTGTGAAGGGAGTAAATGAACTCTATGAATTATTAGTTAGTACAAAAGTTGGTGTTTGAAGATTTGGAGTAAACCTTAATAAGACTGACGACATCACCAACAAAATTGGTGATTGCAGACATGTGTCTAAGTGCATTCTAGTTTGATGATCCTGCACGCAAATTTGATGAATTACAAGCATGCGAGTGAGATGCTATCACTTGCTACAAGATTGAACTCTCTCCCTCTATCTATCTCTCTCGATACACACATTAGGAATTTGACAAACGACTGTGGTTGATGTTATCTATCTTATGGGTGATATTAAGGGAATATGCAAAATATTGAGTATTATCTATCTTAGACATGCACAATGATTATTTGCAGATTTTGATTTTCACAGGAAAGTTCATTTTGAATAGGCTGGGTGCTTAGTATTTTGAGTTCTTGTTGCCTACTTCCCTGCAACAACAAATTTTACCTTCCTCCCAACTTGAAAGTTGAGACTATAACAGTTTTCTTAGTGGGAAAATGCATAGTGATCAAACAAAATAAAATCTGAAGAATCCAAATGCATCTCACTAAATGAAAATGCATCATTGCAAAGGATTAATGATGATCGGAACTCCATGTTGTGGACCCAAGGTAAGCCTCATTATAGGAGCATGCCGGTAAGAAGGTGAGGGCATGAAAGCATAGCGTGGAAGGATCATTGAGAGAGCCAATTTGGCCTCCAGATTGGCGAAATTCAGGCCTGCACAATTGCGAGGGCCATAACCAAATGGTAAGAAAGCCATTGGACTCTTTGCTGCATTTACCGGTCCTTGTAAAAAGCGTTCGGGTTTGAAAAGGTTCACATCGTTTCCCCATTGCCCTGGATCATGGTGAACTGCTATTGGCGAGAGCACGATCTCGATTCCTGATGGTATGATGAGTTCGCCAAACCTTGTCGTTCTCTTCAATTTTCTGACTATAAAAACAGCTGGTGGGTAAAGCCTCAATGACTCGTGAATGATCATGTTCATCTAAAAAAACCGGAAGAAATAAGAAAGGTAATAGATGAAATGAGCACTTGAGGAGGATGATAGGGTTTCCAATATAAGTAAAATTACGAAGATTGAAAACACTAATAGCAAACTTAGGCAAGCTTAAGGGAACAAAATCTTAGTTAACTACCTATGTTATTTTGTTCTTCCACCCATTAGTTTCTACCAGTATTGGAAAGAGTGACTCAGGCTGGGTGCTCGGCCTGAGTTTTGCTGACTTTTTGCCAAGACCAAAAGATGTTAATAATAGTGATAATAATAAATCCAAAAAATAAAAATATCTTTAAAGTAAAGTTAAATAAAATACATCTAAATGAGAGTAGAAAATAGTGAAAAAATAGATTTCGAAAACAATCAATTTATGATGGGGGTATTTTAAAAATAATTGAAAAAAAAAGGGAAAACGTAAAATTAAGTATTCATGGCCAACACACTTTCCAATCATTCCCAAAATGATAGACAAACATAAAAAAATATATTACTAATAAATTTCTTGCTTTTATGTATTTTTTATTATTGTTATTTTTTGTTTTGTTTAAGATTCTTGAGTTGGAAACTCAACTCGGGGATGCTCTCGCTCGCCAGGGTGGCAAGCCCAAGTTACTCAGGTGAGTCTGAGCTAGCTCATCTGAGTAAACAAACATTGGTTTTCACTAACTTAGTTACATTAGTAAAACATGGCGATCAAATTAGCTCCAACAGTGAGAGAAAAAGGAAAATAATAATAACTTACAATTTTAAGCCGGTTAACTCCATCAATGGTAGGTGTGTCGGAACCGAAGGCCTCTATGACCTCTTTCCTCACCTTGTCTTGCCACTCTGGGTGCATGGCCAAGAGTACGACTGTCCAGGTGAGTAGCCCACTGGTGGTGTCATGACCAGCAAAATAGAAAGTCTTGCATTCATCCAGGATATCTTGCGAGGAATACTTAACACCAACTTGTGTATCATGGTTGGATTCTAACATCATCCCAAGGAAATCTTTCCCATAACCATCACATTCACCATTCTTCACCTTCTCTTCTCTAGCAATCATCATTTTCGTAAGCATTGTTGTGATTTCTTGATCTATTTCATCGGCCCTCTCTTCGTCTCTGGTTCGGAAAAATCTTCATGGAAAATGATACCCCATGTTATTAAGGAGACTGGATACTACTTGAAAATAACGATACATGCCCACAAAGACATGCCAAGCACAGGCATGAGAAATGCTCCCATATAACCATTGCAATTTTACACACAAACACACATAAATGGGTAAGACCACATAGGCTATGGAACAAGGACATTGCATGCTTTCAGAATTAAAGAAAACAAACATAGTGTTGATGGTTATAGCTGCAAGATATTAAGTTTTTTCTCTTGTGGATTACAAGATATTGAGTTTTCTATTTGGTTAGATTACAGATATAATGAGATTTGTCTCCTACAAGACAAAAATTGTAATTCTATAAATCTCGTAAAAGACAAAAATTGTAATTCTATAAATATCTGGTAAGCCAAAGTACTCCCTATGAATGAGAAATTGGTTTACCCTCCATAGACATAGGCACCATTGTTGAACAACATATATGCCTTGTCGATCTCTTTCCTTCTCTCTCTTCTTTTTACCTTTTATTGCAATTTTGCATGGTATCAAAGCAGGATGATATGGACCATCACTTGCTGTGACCATAAAAAACTCGGGTAGCCAGCGCAAGAGCATGGGTTCGAGTCTTGAGAGTGGCCACTTTGTGCATATGCCAAATGCGAGGTCCCTTTCCAGCCCACTGCTCCCGGGAACTTGTTGAGGCGCAAGTTATGGCCCTTTTATCAGAGCAGGCTGATCTACCACTAGCGATCCATTGCTGGCTGGAGTTATGTTATTCTCGCATCCAAGAAGCTGCTCAGGTGTACTTAGTCAAGCCCTTTGAAGTTACATTTTTGCTCCTTCCCTCTAAGATACATTTTTTTGTTGCAAGCCATTGTAGCCCAAACTTTTACCAAAAAGTTCTTTAACTTGTTTTTCTCACTCTATACTATTTCCTTTTTTATCGTTGCAACCCATTTTCATACCCAAAACTATTTGCAAAGATATGGCTTATGGTTTTGAACATGTTTCTTTCGTCGTATGCAAAATCCTCTTATTCAGCAGCTTCAAGACTCCCCTAAATCCAAAGCAGGTTTGTATAGCCAGCATTGTGAAGCAATTTGAAAGCAACAAGTGACGTCAAACCCTTTTGGCATACAACAATAAGGTCGGCATCTTGGAACTGAGAGAGAGACCCTTTAATTCACAGGCAGTTGTATGCATCGGCAATTTCTAGAGGGAGAAACTGTAATTCTCATTATGATCTTTGGTGAGTTCTGATTGAATCGCCTTCTATTATTTACTCTCCTTTACTATTGTTCAGGTCAAGTCTTATGGTTCTTGTTATCTCTTTATAATGGTTGATTTAGAAAATTGATGCAGCATTAAACTTACTCTTGTTCATTTGAATGGAGTTAACTTTATTGTTTGGTCCAAATTTGTTTATTGTTTTCTCTTTGGAAAATTTAAACTTCGACACATATCCAAGAAGAAAATAATAAATCTTGATTTCAAAACCTCTGAAGAAAGTGCTGAAAAATCTTCCCTAGTTGCCAATAATTAGAAATTTGAAATAAAAGGCCTCAAAATCGTTGTAGAAGTAGAAAACGGTCGTAGTAATAGAGGGCATCCTACATGTGATCACTGCAACAATAAATGACATGTGAAAGATATGTGTTGGGTATTATACCTACACTTAATGCCGATTAATAACAGAACACGCTGACCGCAACCATTCAAGCCCATCACCGTAAATGTGATCATTATTAGCAACCAAGTAACAAGAATGGCTCTTCCTCCATGTAAGATCCTTTTTCTTCATTCTCAAACTCGTAACCCTTATGCTATCATGCCTTCCTATGATACTTTTCCTTGGATATTAGACTCGGGGGCCATAGATCATATGCCAGGCACAGGCATGTGAAAGGCTCCCATATAACTATGACAATTCTACACCCATACATGGGAAAGACCATAGAGGTTATGGAAAAATAACATTGTAAGATTTGAGAATTACGAGAAACGAACGTAGAAATTGAATCATCAATTCCTCGTCAAAAGTATGTAAGAGGAAAGAACTGTTGGGAGAGTCCATCCCATGTGGGAGGACCTCCACTGGAACTTTCTATTTTTGAGAGGCACTCATTTAGCATAGAAGTATTGACTTTTAAAACAAGTCATGGGAGGTAGTTGTTACAAAAGGATAATCTCACGTGAGCTTATGTAGGCTTCTTTAAAAATAGATATCCTAATGTGGGCTCGACATAATATGTAATACGGTTAAATAAGGTGGTCAAAGTTACCATCCATATATATTATAGAGAGAGAGAGAGAACAAACTATAAAAAGCCTCACGTGGGTGATTGTGACTGCTATGTTGGTGGGTTTAACCAAAGCCTCTTGTTATAGCTTAGAACCTCTGTATTGTAGAGATTAGAAATACAGTGATCCTTCTTTTCTAGAGAAGAAGAAGAAGAAGAGATAGAGAGAGAAAGAGGGAACATTTTCTTTTAGAGAGAGAGAAAGCCTCTAGGAAAGAAAAGAACCATCCGAGAGAGAAAACCCTTTGAAAGAAATCAGAAAGCCCAAGAAAGCTTGTTTCTAGAAAGAATATTGTAACTATAATTTTAATAGTAGATCTATCTCTTTTTTTTATGGACGTAGACTGAAACTGTAATCCATGTAAATCTCGATGCTAGTAAGTTTTATTTTCATTTGTTTTACTACATAATTTCCACTCAAACACACACACATCGGTTTTAGCATACTTTTGTATCCCATAAATATGGGTTCCACTGCGCGCATCCGTATTTTTGCGATAGGGCCCTATTGGGTGAGTCCAATAATTGGTATCCGAGCGTGTTTCCCTTGACTCCGATACACCGCTCGGTTATACCTAACACCATTTGCCAGTGTAGCAATCCTAATGGTCATAGGATGATCAAGGAAGAAAACCTCCTTATAGGATTGGTTCATATTTGATTAACGGTGACACCCTGACTGCCTGTTAGTTCTTCACCGCTGATGGATATTTGACCAATGTGGGATACTTGACCGTCGATGACTTGACAGTTTGTGAGTGCTTAACTGTCGACGGATACTTGATCGCTGATGGATACTTGACCAATGACGAATTGACAGCTGGTGAGTGCTAACGACAAATACTTGACCTACATCACATATTGACCGCCAATGAATTGACGGACAATGGATCCTTGATAGATGACGGATCCTTAACTGCCAAAAAAATCTTGACTAATAACAGGAGATTGACAGTCGATGAGTCTCCCTAACTGTCGGTGAAAAGATTAGAGAGGTGTAAAAGACAATGTGTATGGATCAATGATGGATTCCAATACCGGGAGTAGGATGATATAGCTTAATGGGAATAACTAGATCATTTGGAAGCCAAAGATTGAACATATACTATACTGTAGGGACTTGTACACACTATTGAAGGGGTAGAGCATAAGCCCGAAGGTATGACAAACAAAGGGTGGAAGAAATTGGACCAAAAGACTCTTGGAAGAAAATGTGTTCCACCATGTGTCAACGGAGACATCTGCCACATCATTGTGGGATAAGCTACATGGCTTGTACGAGAGGAAGAGCACAAAAAATAAGGCATTCTTGATCCAAAATTTTATGATCATGAAGTTCAGGGACGGGGGATCCGTTGCAGAGCACCTGATTGAGGTGAAAAAAACCAACTCACAACGATTAAATTGCTCCTAAAAGATGAGCTACAAGCTCTATTTTTATTCAGTTCACTACTGAATAGTCGGGAGGTAGTCTGAGTAGCATAGCACCAAATGGGATAGTTCACTAGTAGCCTACAGAATGAGGAAACGAGAAGCAAATCCTTCGACACATCTAACTCACAAGCTCTTGTCACAAATCGAGGAAGGTTAAAAAATAGGGACCAAAATCAAACTAACAAATCTAAGGATAAAGATGGATCGAAATAAAAAATGGGAGTCACACGTTATCAATGTCGCAAGAAAGGGCACATCAAGAAATCGCGTCAAAAGCTCAAGAAAGAGTTGAATGAGGACAATGCCAAAGGTGATGGCAATCAAACCATTGTTGTGACCACAGATGTTGGTGTGGTTCAAAACTGTAGTGACAGGTACATCAGTATTGCATCAGGTTCATGTAACTCAGACTGGGTTGTATATACCAGAGTATCATTACATTTTACCACCCATACATTATTTTTCTTGTTACAGAGCGACAGATTGTGGGTAAGCGAGATGTACACATCAAGACTGACATTAGGATGAAGCTTGTGCTAATGGACGTCAGACATGTATCAGATATCTCTCTGAAACTCATCTCAGAAGGTGTTTAAATGATGAAGGGTACCACTCAATGTCCAGTAAGGAACATTGGAAGTTAACAAAGGGATCTATTGTCATAACGAAGGGCAAGAAGTGTTGTTCACTCTACAATACATAGGTGCAAGTCTCAAATGGCGAAGTTAATGATGCCATTGAAGAACCCCCACAAGACCTGTTGCACAGGCATTTTAGCCACATGAGTGAGAAAGGAATGCAAATCTTAGCAAAGAAGCAGATTCTTCCCAATGTTAAGAATGCATCTCTAACCACATGTTTGCAATGAAAACAACATTGAGTCTCTTTCTCCAGTTTTAGTTCTAAAGTTACGAAAATCCTTGATCTGATATATTCAAATATGTGTGGTCCCATGGATGTGAAGTGGCTTGGTGGCACATCATACTTTGTCAACTTCATTGATGATGCTTCAAGAAAGGTATGAGTGTATTTAATGAAATTAAAAGATCAGTTGTTTGAGATCATTCAGAATTTCCATGCTAAGGTGGAAAGGGAGACATGCAAGTTGTTAAAGTGTCTCATATCAGACAATGACGGAGTACACCTCGAATGCTTCAAAAGCTATTGTGTCAAGCATGGCATAAGGCACAAAAAGGTAGTACCATATAACCCCCAACATAATGGTGTAGTAGATAGAATGAATCACACCATTACGGAAAGAGTTAGGAGCATGCTATCCATCGCCAAGTTACCAAAGTCATATTGGGTTGAAGTAGTCCTCACAACATGCTACTTAATAGATAGATGCTCGTCATTTCCTATAGATGGTGAAATCCCTGAGAGAGTTTGGATCGAAAAAGATATCTCTTATGCAGACTTGAGGGTGTTCTGGTGCAAGGCATTAGTGCACGTGCCCAAGGAGCAAAGATCCAAGTTGGATGAAAAAGAACTCCTGTGCATCTTCCTAGGGTACTCAAATGGAGAGTTTGATTACAAGCTATGGGATCTTGAGAACAGTAGGGATCTGGCCTTTAAAGTAGACCTTACCATTGAAGATGTGAAGAAGTAAAAAAGCCATGAATATTCAATGGTTCAGAACCGGTTATAGTTCCTCCTACCATGATGCATAAAGACAGAAGAGAAGTGCAGCAAGAGGGATGGGTGCCAAGAGTTTGACATGCCAGTTCCGGGTGATGTAGAACAGAGGGAACAACTTGTTCAAGAAGTGCCACCTATAATTGAAATGAGTAGGTCCTATTGGGGACATAAACTCTCTACCAAATACCTTGCATCACAGCATATCCTATACACTGAAAGGAGGCAACCAGGAATCTACTAGGAAGCTCAAGCCAACGAACAAAAATACCACATCGATGACTTGGTAAAGTTGCCTAAAGGCAAGAAGGGAATGAAGAACAAGTGGGTCTTTAGAATAAAGATTGGAGAGAAAAGCTCAAAGCCAAGGTAGAAGGCTAGGTTGGTTGTGAAAGGTTTCGAGCAGAAAAAGGGTATCGACCTTGATGAAATCTTTTATCCCGTGGTGAAAATGCCATCCATACATGTGGTGTTAGGACTGGTTGCAAGTTTGAATCTAAGAGATAGCGTAGCTAAATGTTAGGATTGCCTTTCTCCATGGTGATTTGAAAGAAGAGATATATATGGAGCATCCAGATTGATTCAAGGTCAAAGGTAAAAGGAAAGGAGCACATGTTTCCAAGCTTGAAAAGAGCCAATACTAGTTAAAACAAGCCCCAAGGCAGTGGTACAAGAAGTTTGATTCCTTCATGGGGAGTCATGGGTACAATAGGACAGTCTTAGACCATTGTGTCTTCGTCAAGAACTTCTCCGACGATAACTTCATAATTCTTTTACCATATGTTGATGACATGCTAATTGTGGGTCAGGACAATTGCCAAATTTACAGGTTGGAAGAAGAGTTGAGCAATACCTTCGTGAAGGAATTAAGATTTTCTCAACAGATCTTAGGCATGAAGTTTTCTCGTGAAGGGAACGTTGGGAAGCTATGGTTATCACACGAAAGATACATTGAGAAAGTGCTCGAAGGTTCAGTATGAACAACATAAACCCTATCAGTTCCCTACTTGGAAGTTATTTCTAATTAAGTGGTAAGCAGAGCCCTTCAAATTAGAATGAGAAGGAAGAAATGAAAAATGTTCCCTATGCATCAACTATATGAAGTTTAATGTACACAATGGTGTGCACGAAGCCAGATATCACACACTCAATTGGTGTAGTGATTAGATTTATTGTGAATCTTGGGAAGGAACACTGGGCAGCAATCAAGGGGATATTTAGATATCTCAGATGAACATTCTAAGTGTGTTTGTGCCTTGGGGGAGGTAAACTATATTACAATGGTAACACAGATGCAGACATGGCTAGAGATGTAGACTCAAGAATATCAATTGTGTGATGCCTATTTACTTTTGCAAGGAGTGATGTTTCATGATAGTCTATACTGCAGAAGTGTGTGGCTCTATCAACCACAAAGGCAGGGTACATTTCAATCCCAGAAGCTTGCAAGGAGATCCTGTGGATGAAGAGATTCCTCCAGGAGTTGGGCTTGAAATAGGACAAGTATATCATCCATTGTGACAGTCAAAAGTGTCATCCACTTGAGTAAGAATGCAAGCTTCCATTCTAGAAAAAGGCATATTGATATGTATTACCATTGAATTTGGGATATTCTAGAGAAGAAGTTATTGCAGCTAGAGAAGATCCATATGTATAAGAATACGTCGGCTATGATGATCAAGACCTTAACCAAAGATAAACAAAAGCTATATAGAAGCATGGCTAGGATGGATGTCATTTGCACACCTGTTTAATCTGAAAAAGAGAACCTCCCCCATAGGATAAAAGGGGGAGATTGTTGGGGGAGTCCGTCCCATGTGGGAGGACCTCCTTTTAAACTTGCTATTTTTTAGGGGTATTCATTTAGCATAGAAGTGTTGAATGTTAGAACAAGTCTTGGGAGGTAGTTATTACAAAATGATAACCTCGCGTGAGATTATGTAGGCTTTCCAAAAAAGAGATATCCTCATGTGGGCCCACAAAAGATGAGATAAGGTTAAATAAGCTTGTCAAGAATACCATGCTTACCAATCCTAGAGAGAGAGAGCAAACTATAAAAGGCCTCACGTGGGTGGTTGTGACTCCTCTCTTGCTGGGTTTACCAAAGCCTCTTCTTATTAGCTGGAACCTCTCCATGGTAGAGAAAAGAAATACAATGATCTGTCTTTTGCAGAGAAGTAGCAGAGAAAGAGGAGCACGTTAAAGAGAGAAAGAGATAAACTTTTCTTTTAGAGAGAGAAAAACTTTCAGGAAAGAAAAGAAGTCTCCAATAAAGAGAAGAGCCACAGACAGAGAAAACCCTCTAGAAGAAATCAGAGGGCCCCAAAAAACTTTGTTTCTTGGAAGAACATTGTGAACATTATTTTAATAGTGGATATGTCTCTTTCGCCTGTGGATATAGCTTGAGAAGGTAAACCGTGTAAATCTAGGTGCTATGAAGTTTATTTTTATTTTTTTTGTTGCATGATTTTTACTCATACACACACATCAGTTTAGGCATATTTTTCTGTCCCATAAATCCGGGTTCTGCTGCACCCGTCTGAATTGATACAAGAGACCTCAACTGGGTAAGCCCAACAAGATCAACAGGTCATGGGGACTATTGTGTTAGGTTTGCCCCCCATTTTATGTTGTATTCATTAGATGTAAATATGAGGCTAAAGTCGTGTAGTTAATCCTGTAATGGAATGTGAGGTTTCTCACTAATATTTGATATAGCGGCATGTGTGCTTTGCAATAACACCTAATTTGGTTATGGTTCTTTACGTGCGCAGACAGACTAAGGATACAATAAAGACATTGTGTCTGGTAAAAAGCATCCAAGATGGTTTTCTCTTTACATTTCTTCTTTAGATCTTAAAATAGAATTGCAATGTATGCACCTAAAACAATACAAAAATACTTTTATAAAAATTAAACGACCAGACCAACCCCGAAACTTTTAGGGCTACTTTGGCCATTTTATTTATGAATACTATCTTTTCATATTTTTTGTTGGCATAAGCTTAAGAGAGGAGTGGATGCCAAAAATTTGATGTCAACATCATATCTCGAAAAAGTTAAAAATAAAATAGTGTTTAGGCGTGATTGGAGCCTTCTCAGCTGTCCATTTAGATCAGATGGATGAAAGAGGGTGGCATATAGCAATTCAGTATATCTAGTGGTATATACAAAGCTTTCTCCTTTCATAAATGGTCTACCCATTGTTATATGTGAAAATGCCAATTTTGAGAATGACATTTATATATGTGCTAAATGTTGATACATGTAACGATATCGAGATAAAATAGGGTTCTAACTAGTTTTTATGATCTAATTTATTCTTTCAATTTGGAATGAAGTTTGCCCAAATTTCAACATAAGTGTTGGCTAAAATTTCATGAAGCTCAAAACTTAAAACTTAGATGAAGGGCCGACCACTTGAGAATCTTACCCAGTGCCCGGAAAGCGAAATTTACGAATATTTGAAGCAACGAGTTTAACCAACTTCTCCAACAATTCCAACTTATCTTTCCCTTCCAAGTAATTGCTTCCAAAAGCTGTCCTGGAAATCACGTCCAATGTGAGAATCCGGAATTCATTGAAAACTTCAATCTCTTTCTCTTCATTATCTCTCCATCTCTTCATCATTTCCTCAACACTCTTAACCATTTCAGGAAACATGCTCTGCAGAAATCAAATCATGGTTGGCGGCAGTTATAAACAATGCTACATCTCAAGTTCAATTCCTACAAAAGGTTATTTCACTTGATCACTATTAATCTGATTGACGCTTGGGTTAAAAGATGGTAGAAAGACAATTTGGATGAAGGTTTAATGAGTTCACAAGTCTTATGGGAATTAAAAAAAAAAAAAATAGATTTTATATTCAATGGCTGAAATTAAATGTGACCTCCTGGTAAAAAACTATAATTGTCTCATAGTATACGTAATACAACCCCAAAACAAGTTATTTCCATTTACTTTGAGGCATTCAGCATTGAAGGCCTTGTTGGCAAGCTTCCGATGGTGAGCCCATTTCTTCTCGTCGCTTGTAGCTATAAGCCCATCTCCAAACAGCCGTTTGGAGACTGAAAGGAAATCCGGTTTTTGATAGTCTCCATGTTTGTTGTTGAGAACCTCTCTCATAAACTCTGGATCTCTAATGAAAAGCTGGGGTTTAGTTCCATCCCAGCTCAGGAAACTATTCCCTGCAAACGAAAATATAAAAATAAAAAAAATCAATTCTTTTCCAATTCCTAAGAACTCTCTCTCTCTCTCCAAATTACAGCACTTTTATGAAATCACTATCTAAATTACAACATTATTATTATTATTATTTTTTATGACAATGTCAAATTACGACACTTTGAATTGGATGTATTCCAAACCATTGGCCCGCACTCCAGGCCACTCCCCGTGTGTGTGTTAAACCAAGTTCGATTACACGGCTCAGCTCAGGACTTGGGCCCTGTGTGTGAGCTAAGTAACTCAGGCCAGTCCAATTGAGCTTTCTGTACTAGTTTATGAGTCTAACAAAGGGCAAAAAAACAAGAAAAAGAAAGAGCAAACTATGCTAAAAAACATAAAAACAGTTATAAGAAAAATAAACTGGAAAAAAACACCAAAATTCCCAAAAAAATGGATCAAAGATTTGAAAGATAGAATTTAGAAAACATTGATTTATAGCTGAAAAAGAAAATCAAAAAATCAAAAAAATTGGAAAACAAAAAATATACATGAAGAACTCAGAAATCATCATAAAAAACACAAAAAAAACATAAACTTGATTGAGTAAAATAATAAAAATTCTTTTTCCAACTGAGTTTGTTCTGAGGCACTCCGCTGGGTAAATTACCGAGTTCAACCGAGTTGTAAGAGCATCGTGCTAACCAGACCGTAGACATGATAATCTATATACACATACTATAATCATGAACTAATACAACCATTTTAATGACATAGTGTTAATCTAGAACAAACTAAATTGAATTTAGGACTTTCTTAAAGATTTAGTACTCCTTTTTCTCATATTTACTTTGTTGTGCTTACCATATATTTTGGACCAAGCATAAATATGAGGCTGAACCCTAGGCAAGATATCATGAGTGAAATCCATGGGTTTCATGGCAGATTCCATTGCCATCTGCAACACTTCTTTGTTGTTCCCATGGAGAAATTTATATGGTGGCCCTCTAATTCCTTGTTTTTCCATTAACCTGGTTATTCTTAGAGGAACCCACCATACTCTTACCACAAATTCCACCAATTTAAACACCAAAAATAAGATTAACAAAGATGATGAGCACAACAAGGTGGTGGACGCTGGGATTATGGTGTTGTTCTCCATTAGCTTCCTGCTCAAGGTTGCTGCACTTTGAAATTCAATTTATAAGTAGATTGAATATGAAATGGTTGCTTTTCAATTGGTTCTCCCAAAACCTCAAGATTTCATTGCACAGAATAGAGCATGTGAATCTTTTCATTTAAAAATTTGGGCGTTTACTTCTATGAGACAAAGGACCGCTCCTTACAGAAAGGTTGACTGATGCATATTGGACATATGCGGGCCCCCTCTCAAATTTATCTTAATGATGGATTTTTAATTAGGGATTGATGATCTAAGCTAAAAATAAAAAATTTGAACATTTAAAATACGATTCTTTTAAGGATATTTCTACACCGTCCATATATAGGCTTGTGGGATTTTTTCAACTCTTTCATGAAGATGGACTTTGATGCATGAAATGAACAATTGTTTCATGCGGTCTAGTCCTCATTTGTGCAATATAAGGTCCAAAGGTATAAAGCATCGCTCATAAAGATGGATCATAAAGATGGATGCAAATGGGTACAATATACGTCCATTTGTCAGAGTTCAAATTATTTCATCGTGTGCTTATCATAGCTACTACGATCACCCATCTTTTCGGTAATCCATCGAAAGTAGTGGAATATAATGGGCGGCATTTGGAATTGGTCTTAAATATAATAGATTTAAGTAAAATTTTAAAAAAATATTTTGGGGACATTTATGCCTAGATTTAACGATGCACCAAATATAGAGCTGGCAAAACCTAATTTTTGTCTCCCCATAAAACTGCTTTTAGGTTTTGTTTTTTGTTTTTGTTTATTGAAATATTTTATTAGAATGTTCACTACAGTCCATAGAATACATGTACACAAGGAAAATTATTTCATGCAGGCTGGACCGCATTTCTACATATGCGGTCTGGAAACTGTAAAGCATCCGTCTTAAAGATGGATGCAGGTTGGTTTAAGATGGATGCAAGTTGGTGTTCTATCTAAAAACAATGAAAACTGGTTTAAGATGGATGCAAGTTGGTGTTCTATCTAAAAACAATGAAAACTAACGATCCAAATGTTTTCTTACTAGAATTATTAATTTTATATTTTATAATTTAAAATTACTAATTTATTTCTTTTTTCATATGCATGGTCTCCATATTAGAGATTACATGTCCTTAAAAAATGAGTCTTAAAATTCATCGCAAAAAAGATTTATTAAGATGCCTACATTTCCACAAATGCGGGCTTGGCCGCATAGAAACCAGGTCCTATGCATAAAAACGAAGCAAATAAAATTACCCATATTAAATAAATTTTTTTATGAGGGGATGGATAGCCCATGGGCCAGCCGAAGCATTTTCCATAGATTTGTATTGTGCTTATCCGACCACGCACCCAAAAAAAAAGAAGAAATGATTTAGTAGGAAAGTATGCTTTCACTGTATAAAGGACAGGGTTTTATGAGTCCTCCGATTCGTACTATTTTCATGCAGGTTCCCTTGAACACCCATTATTTGTATCCATCTTGGATTCGAATTTGTTGTGATCCATGATCTACACTACGATAATCATGAATATAACAAATAAAAGATAATAAAATAAAATTTAAATTGTTTTTTATTACAATATTTTTTATCCACCGGATAGGAATCTTTAGTTGTAGATGCTTATCTTAAAGATGGACATTTATGATTGCGCAGGCTAGTGAGTCCGCTGACTCACGAAACACTCTTCCCTATATAGAATATGGGATCTTAATTTTTTTAATCGAGGGCCGAGGACAGGTTATCTTTTCGGACGCTTCTCCACTTTTCTAATTTGTTTGGGAGATTATCCTTGAAAAGAACAAGGGTACGGTGGCCATCGGGTCCCGGGTCTGGGTTAGCTTCTATATGTTAGACCCCGCAAGTCAGGTTTGGGTCCTAGGGATTGGACTTAATCTGGGTTGGGTGTGGGTTCATATCCAACTTGGACTTTATTGAGTTGGGTCAAGTCCACTTGGTATAAATATAAGAAATATATATACAATGAACAAAATAAATGTTTTGTTTTAAATTTTTAGACGTGTGTCAAGGTCCAAATGAATTCGACTCGTCTTGGGTTTGGGTCCATAAGACGGGACCCGACCCGTTGCCACCCCTAAATCTTGGGTATTGTCAATTTTGTCAACAACGAAGTAAGATGTGTATATTTAATCAATAAAAGTCATTTGCCCATGACATATATATATATAGTCCTTAGAATACGTTGGCTAAATAAATATGTGAAAACGGCTTTCACAACCATCCACGGGAAGGAGTCCTTACAGTTTGGTTTAGAAACTTGGACAATAGCGACGTGAACCTACTCTCAAATAGACTTATTTTGACTTACTGAAGAAAAAAAATAATAATATATGGACGAAATAATGTCGATGGAAGGGATCTTAAAGTTTGCCACTGATGCAGTTGAAATGTATTGGCCTCTAATAATCGGTAAATCAACCGTGTTTTAGAGAGAACTAAAAAATGAGACGAAAGCACAGATGTGGGGATCCAAGAGAGCCGCCAAATACAGTCAATTAGAGAAGAAAAAAGAATAACAAGAGTCATGTTCTCTTTCTCTACAAAACAGCCTTTTTTTTTTTGTTCAACCCCAATCCATAAAAAAACATAATCACCCCTTTCTAAAGACAAACGATAAAGACACCTATCTCTGTGTTTCTTATCTAAAGGTAGGAACGGACCTCACCCACAAAAGATCTTAATATAAGATAACTTATTCATACCTCCGAAAAAAAGAGACCTAATTTGCATATAAAATGTACTTATTAAAATATAGATTTTATCAAACTAAACTAAAAAAAATTCCTATTAATCCTATTTCAAAAAATTGACCTCAATAAATAAAAATAAAACACTCACTCATAAAAAAAAGAGAAATAATTCAGTCCCCAAAATTTTAAAAAATAAAAAATATTGTATCCATCTGATCTTGATCTGCTTCATTCTCCCCTGGTTGGAGAAAACTTGTCCTTGAATGGTAAAATACATTAAGATGAAATTTGTATTAGTACCACCACCTTCTTCAACCCAAAAATTGTAACCAAGATCTTGGGACCTGTGTGTTACTAAATTAATCAAAATGCAATGATTGCTCATTGAAAATGAGAATTCCTCAAGAAAAGGTCATTGTATCTCAATAATGTATGTTCAGCTATATAAACTTGTAGAAAGTGCTTAGCCTCATCCATATAGCACACCACGTGTGCATCTTTGAAATGAGTACTAGATTCAATAGTTGGACCAACTATACCTATTGATCCTATACAAAAATTTGATAAATTACATAGGCAAATGAGCACTAGATGCTATCACTTGCTAAATTTGTAGACAGTCTCTTTGAAATTCTGGTTAAGGAAATTCCTTAAAACCTCAATTTTGAGTCCAAAGAACCACAAAAACTTTAGTAGATCATAGACAACCGAAACCTAATATAATTATTCCAAAATTGCCTTCAACCTAACCCAAATTAAAGTAGACCCAAAGAGCTTTTCAACGGCCCAAGAATCACCCGAATCGGACCTACAGTTAAAAAGATTAAAGAATGACACTTTTGTCCTTGCCTAAATGTGCCCAGAGAGACGTGCACGACGCTCTGCGCATCACGCAAGTCACCAAGGTTGGTATCGTGTGGTTCGATGGGCCCGGCCCCACCCAGGAACCTTTTAGAAGCTAGTTTTAGTTTTTTTTGAGCCCCAAAAATATCCAAAAAATCTCAAAACAATTGAGAAAAATACCTAATCGTAATCCCAATTGAGTTTGATTAATTTCAACCTTAACCCTACCTCAAACTTATAAATAACCCTGCACAGAGACTAGAAAAATAATAAAAAAACGATTCATAAATTCCTTACAAATTAGGAAGAAGCCTTAGAATTTTCCTAAATAATAAGAAAAAATCCCAAAAAATCCCCAACAATACCAAAAAATCCCCAACAATACCAAAAAATCCTCAAATTCAGATTTAATCTTAAGAGCCTACAAAAACTATAAAAAACTAAAGAAAATCTACCCTAAACCTTTTCAAAAGAAAATCCATCATGAACCCTCATAAAACCTTAGGTAGACCCCACCTAAAATCATCAATTTTAGAAAATCCAACCTAAACCCTCAGAAAAGCTTAGGTATGCCTGGAAAGAAAGACCCCACCTAAAATCATCAATCTTTTTCCATGCCTTAGGATGTTGGAATCGATTGGTAAAATTCAGCATGAGTTTATAACATTTATAACTATTGTGTATTCATATCAATATAAACAAGTAATTGAAACTACACAATATCAAAGCAAAAACATGGATTGACAAATCCAACAACATTCATTCCACAGAGCATAAAGATTTAACGTGGTTCGATCACAAATCTTCACTTACCTCCACACGAAAATGACATGAGACTTTATTGACTGATTTGGGAAGATTACAAAGTGAAATCAAGCTCAAACTATCAATTTCCAACAGTCATTTCCTACTCCAAACAGAGCCCAAAAATGAGTTTTCTTTAACACTTTCTCTCACTGAAACATGGCACACGGCAAACCCACAATGGAGTTCAAGCCTTTTGCTCACTGTTCAAGCCTTTTGCTCACTTTCTCTCTTTAAAACATAGCATATTAAGCCAGAAAACCCAATTGCATCCCAGTCTCTCTATCTTTTGCTCACACTCTTTCTCTCCCTAAACAAAAGGGTTTTAATCCCTTTAAAAGACTAAAGTTCATACAACACTACAACCATTAGATTAAATTTAATCTAATGGCCCAAAATAAAAGAGAGAAAATTTAAATAAAATTTCCACGTGTGTTTTTTGTTTTCACACATGTAACAATCTCCGACTTGAAAACAAATCACAAAGTCTCCGAAATAATCACCAATGCATCACTCTCCATCCACTTGAGATTACATCTCCTTCAACCCTGAAAGTCTTTTACACATCATATTCTTTTCAATTGAGGCAACCTTTATCAACATATCAGCAAGGTTCTTCTCAGTGTGAATCTTGTCTACCTGCAAATCTCTATGTTTGAGGGCCAACCTAATAAAATGATATCTAACCTCTATATGCTTTGTCTTGGAGTGATAAGTTACATTCTTAGCCAGATGAATTGCACTCTGGTTATCACAATGCACAACATAGTTATTATGTTTTATCCCAAACTTTCAAAGTAACCTTCTCAACCAAATCATTTCCTTCGCTGCCTCAGTCAATGCAACATACTCAGCTTCAGTTCATGACAAGGCAACAATATCCTGTAACCTTGATATCCAGCTGACTGCACCTCCACCAATATTGAAAATGTATCTAGTGGTAGACCTTCTAGTATCACGGCATCCTATATAATCTGCATCTACATAACCAACAAGTTCTAATGATGACTTTCAAAACACGAGTATATTTTTCATGTTCTCTTCAAATACCAAAGAATCCACTTAACTGCTTGCCAATGTTCCCAACCTGGATTAGACATAAATCTGGAAACAACTCCCACTACATGGGCAATGTCAGGTTTAGTACAAACCATTGCATACATCAAACTACCCACTACATAAGTATATGAAACATTCTTCTTCTAACTTCTATCTGTCTCATTCATTGGAGTGTCCCTTTAGACAACTTGAAATGTGCAACTAATGGTGTAGAATGATGTTTACAATCAGTCATGTTGAAGCGTCCAAGTACTTTAGAAATATATTCAGATTGACGTAACCTAAGCTTACCTTGCTTTCTGTCTCTATGGATGTGTATGACCAAAATCTTTTTGGTTGGTCCAAGATCCTTGATGGCAAAATGCTTGGACATATCAAGCTTTAAACACTTGATTTCACTCAAATCATTACTAGCAATAAGCGTATCATCAGCATAAAGCAACAAAACAATAAAAGAATCATATGTTGAATCCTTGAAGTACATACAATGATCAAAATCGCATCTAGAATAACATTCACCCAGCATAAAACTGTCAAATTTCTTATATCATTTCTTAGATGTTTATTTCAAACCATACAATCCCTTTTTCAACTTACAAACCAAGTTAGGATTGGTTTTGTTCTCAAAACCTTCATTTGACACATATAAATTTCTTCATCAAGATCACCATGTAAGAAGGCAGTTTTAATATCAATTTGTTCTAGATCCAAATTCAAGTTAGCAACCAAAGATAAAACAACTCTAATAGAGCTATGTTTAACAACAGGGGCAAAAATTTCATTAAAATCAACACTTAGTTTTTGCCCATAACCTTTCACCATAAGTTTGGCCTTATATCGTATAAGATTATTTGCCTCCTACTTAATAGCATATACCCACCTATTCTTCAATGCTTTTTTCCCATGTGGAAGTTCCACCAACTCACACGTATCATTTTTATGCAAAGCATCAATCTCCTGTTCCATTGCCTTATGCTACCTTTCAGCATTAGAGCAATAAATAGCCTCTTGAGAAGACTCAGGTTCACCATTATTAGTATATAAAACATAATATAAGGAAGGAGAATACCTTGTGTGGGCTTGTGAGGGCATGTGGATCTTCTCAATTCTGGTTCAAGTGTAACTTGTAGTCTTTCTTCATCTTCAATTAATTCAGTGTTATCCTCATAACTAGCATCACCTACATCAAAACTGTCTTGAGCTTGAGCTTGACTCTCTAGTACTTATCGAGGTAATACAATGGGATTTGGTTCTTGTATATCCATAACAAGTCTTTCTTGTTTTGTCTCTTCCAGCTTCTTTTCAACAAACATTACATTCCCATTAAAGAGAATAGCTCTAGTTCTAATAGTCTTCTTTGCAATAGGATCCCAAATCCTATAACATTTATCATCACCACCGTACCCAAGAAAAACACATTTTCTTAACATGGCATCCAACATGGCTTTACGTTCACTGAGCACTTGAACATAAGCTTCACACCCAAATGTTCTCAAGTGTTCATATGACACACTTTTACCTCTCCATAGAATTTTAGGTATCTCACCATTCAAGGGTGTATTAGGAGATCTATTGATCAAATATTCAGCTGTACTAGCAACTTTAGCCCAAAAATGCTTACCAAGATCGGATTGTGATAGCATACTTCTTACTCTTTCAATGATGGTCCTATTCATCCTCTCAATGATACCATTTTGTTGTGGCATCACAAGAATAGTCCTTACTCTGCGAATGTCATTCTCTTTACAAAAAGTATAAAAAACATTCGAGCAATATTCACCACCATTATCAGTGCATTTTATAAATTACTTTGTTGTTTTTTTCAACGTTGGCTTTGAAACCCTTGAAAACTTCAAAAACATGATCCTTAGATGGCAATGGATACAACCAATATTTTCTAGAATAATCATCTCAAACAGTGACAAAATAAGAAGCTCCACCAATATATTTAACATTAACAGGGCCACAAACATCAAAATAAATCAATTCTAATGCTTTATTTTTTCTATGAAAGTCATTTCTTTTAAAACTTACTCTACGCTGCTTACCCATGGCACAATGATCACAAAAATCAAGAAAGGAATGCTTAGAAATAAGAATAAGATTTTGACTTTGCAATACCTTCTTACCATGCTCACTGAGATTACCCAACCGGCTATGCCAAATCTTCATATCCTCATGCCTACTAGCTGCAGCAATGATCTTCTCTATAACATCATTCTTTTGAGTTGTGCCATGAATAGTATAGAGACTTCCATCTTTTTGCACTTTTAACATTGTCATACAACCTCTTGAAATTTTTCATGACCTATTTCCAAAAGTCACTATGAAACTAGAGTCATCTAGCTGCCCGGTTGAAATGAGATTTTTCTTCAACTCAGGAACATGCCTCACATTTCTCAAAGCGTGCTTCTTTCCATCTGATTGCTTGATAACAACATTTCCAATGCCCAATATTTTGCAAGCTTGATCATCACCAAGATAAACCAAGTCACTATCCACATCTATGTAGGATAAAAAAAATGACATTTCTAGGCAAACATGAAATGAAGCACTAGAGTCTGAAACCCAAGTATGTGTAATAAACAATGTTGTGCATGCAACAATAAAAATTATCCGATCTTCACGATCTGAAACTGTAATTTCTTCGGCATGGCTATCCATGCCCTTGGCCTTTTACTTATTCTTCAAAGCATAACAATCTTTCCATGTGTGACTAGGTTTCTTGAAATACCAGCAAGTAATCTTCTTGCCCTTTGACTTGAACTTACCTCTGCTATGAGATTTGCCCATATTATATCCATAGGGTTAGTCTCTATATTATGTTCTTTCTCTATCTCCTGCTGTCAATGCTTGATTTGATTAGGCAAATATTTTTGTAGATGCCTTTATATTCTCTTCATATAACGATGAAGCTACAACATCTTTTAAATTAAATTTGTTTCACACTGTATTAGCCACAGTGGTTACTAAGGTATCCCAACTAGCAGCCAAAGAACTCAGCAAAAGCAAGCATAACTCTTCTTCATCCAAATTCACTTTCAAAGACCTCAATTGTGCAGAAATTGAATTAAATTCACTCACATGTGACCTAATTATAGCCCGTTCTTTCATTTCCAAAATAAATAATTTTTTCATCGCATGCATTTTATTTGCACTAGAGGGTTGCTCTAAAGATTGCCAAAGATCTGCAAATGTTTTAAATTGATAAACATCAAATAAAATTGATGGTTAAATACATGGTCTAATAGCTGCCAAACATTTTCGATTAAGAACATCTCATTCTCAATCTTCTATTCCAACAGGCATGACCTCCTTACCTCGAAGTGGTCGATCCAATTCTTTTCCAAGAAGATAATCTTCTATCATTATTTTCTATATTAGCCAATTATTTTAATTTAATTTTCCAAATTCCATTGTGTTATACATTTGCAAGAAAAAATACACCAAATAAACACAATAGCAAAAAACCATTTCTTCACAGACACAATGAAGAGCAAACCCTAAGCTTTGATACCTGCTGTTGGGATCGATTGGTGAAAAATCAGTAAGGGTTTAAAGCATTTGCAGCTATTGTGCATTCATATTAATATAAACACGCAATGGAAACTACACAATATCAAAGCAAGAGCATGGAATAAAAAAATCCAGCAACATTCAATCCATAGAGTACAAAGATTAATGTGCTTCGATCACAAATCGTGATCTACATCCATGGGAGAATGGCACAAGACTTTACTTACTGATTTGAAAAGAATACAAAGTGAAATAGAGCTGAAAATATCAATTTTCATCCGCCCTTTCTCACTCTAAGCAGGGCCAAAAAATAAGGCATAAAAAACACCCAAAAATGGGTTCTCTTTAACACTTTTTCTTACTAAAACAGGGCACACAGTAAACCCACAATGGAGTTCAAGCCTTTTGCTCATTTTCTCTCTCTAAAACAGAGCCTACTAAGTCAAAAAACCCAATTGCATCCCAATCTCTCTATCTTTTTCTCACTCTTTCTCTCTCTAAACAAAAGGGTTTTAATCCCTTTAAAAGAGTAAAGTTCCTAGAATACTATAACCATTGGATTAGATGCAATCAAATGGCCCAAAATAAAAATAAGAAAAGTTAAATAAAACCCCCACATGTGTGATTTGTTTTCACACTTGTAACATAAGAATCCTAGATCTATGTCAAAGAACTTTAGATCTTCTAATTCCATCAAGCATAAGCATCCAAAAGGAGATGGTGGCACAAATCAATAGGGCGGTCTAATCTATGCTCGGAACTCCGGGTTCTAGAGTTCCAAATGTAAGTAACATTTATTTGTTTAATTTTAGTTAATTTTAATCTTTAATTTAAATTTATTTTCTGTATATGCAATTATTTCTTAGTTTGTAAATTTTTAAAAGAGTTTTTAATACATACATACAGATTTAAAAGCTGGCGTTGCCAATGGATCCAAGAAAGAATCATATCTAAATAGTTCTGTGTCATTTTTTAGCCCTTATATCAAGCGACCTCACATTCTCTACCTTTTTCAAAATTATCTAAGTTTTGCTAATATTTGAGTAGATCTCATCCCAGAGATCGGCGTTGAATGAAGCGTAAACATATATATAATGTAGAATGATCCTTTGCATTGTAATCCAATAAAACTATCCTTCTAGAAAACAATGTTTGTATATCCATACACACATAAGTCAAGTTTTCAGCAGGGTAATGTATCCCAAAAACAACTTATGAGTTAACCAGATTTTCCTATTATTCCTGTCTCAAAGTACACTGATGCCAAGAATTCAGTTAACGGCTCTCAATTCTTTCATCTCATATTCCTTAGCCAACTGAGCTTTAAGTGCTACAATATTCTTCCTGTTTGGTTTAGCAACAATCATTTCAGCGACATATAATAACAAGATAATAAAGCTTCCATCACCATAGCATTGAAAATAGGCACAATGGTCAGCTTCACATCTACGAAAATTCAAGCTCAACATAAAAGCGTCACATCGTTTGTACCAACACCTTGGGGCTTATTTTAACCCGTAAAACGATTTATTGAGCCTACAAACCAAATTCTCTTTACTTTCCTCAAAATATCTGGTTGGGTCATCTAAATTTCTTCTTTTAAGTCACCATGCAAAAATGCAGTTTTCACATCTAATTGTTCCAAATCTAAATGAAGAACAACTTTCATAGCCAAAACAACTCTAATAGTGGACCTACAAAGTCAATACCTGATTTCTGAGCATTCCTTTTTACAACCATTCGAGCTACGTACCTTTCAACGGTATCATGAAGACTCTTTTTCTTCTTGAAGACCCACCTGCAACCAATTGCCTTTCGCTTCTTTGGTAGCTCGACTAGCTTCCAAGTTTTATTCTCTCGCAGGGCTTCCATCTCTTCTTCCTTAGATGTTCTCCATTGGCTGGTTTCATCGATCTCACGTGCCTCACGAAAGGAAACTGGCTCACCCTCCTTTGTTAGGCAAGTATAAGAAAAGACAGTCGTTTAGCCTCACAGGAGCCTTTTTAGGTCAGATCTTCTTAATTCAAGATCACCCAAATATTCTTAAAGTTCTTGGACAATTTCAGGTTCTTGGTACTGACTACCATCTGGTTGGTTCTCATGTGTGCATTCCACCTCAACAGTTTTTGCATCTTGCTCATCTTACTTCTTCTGCATGGAATTTTCATTAAAAATAACATCTCGGCTTATTATAACCTTGTGATCAGTAGTATCCCACAATCTGTACCCCTTTGTACCATCATCATAACCAAGAAAAACACACTTCTTGGATTTTCCATCCAACGTAGTTATTTTTTCCTTTAGAATCAAAGAATACGCATCATAGCCAAAAATACGAAGGAAAGATTAATCAGCAGGTTTACCTCTTCTGGTGTCTTGTAGTCAATAGCATAACTGGGAGACCTATTGATTAGGAAAAAAGCAATACGAACTGCTTCTGCCAGGAAACA